TCTTGACCATGCAGTCGTATGAAATTCATAACTTTGACGACTGCATTGTGCTCCACTCACAAAATTCTTCCTATTGATATATGAGCGATGGACTAAACTAATTCTTGCAAACGACCAACACTTAATGATACGGGTTCTTATCAGGAGCTGTAACCCTTAGCGTTGCCAGCAATTAACAATCTGCATTTAAGCGTGCCCAAGGCGTCCCATTCCACCACGGCTGACGCGAGATAATCGATGTTCAGTCAGTACCTTTTAGTTTGAACAGCAAGCTTCTGCTCTTCCCCTCTGAATTTTCGACCGTGAGCTCTTGTTGTCGGTATTGTTTCCGTGGAACCTTATTTGACCTGCTGTTATGACACGGTGCTATGTGCTGCTATGTGCCTCCTACGTTCAGAACGGCAAACAACTGTTTCTGACTGGTATATTAGTCGTCTTTTTGTTGATCTTTGCGGTCCAGATGGCGTGAAACAGGTTCTGACCATCGACTTTTCGTAGTCTGCTCCTGAACATCCCGAGAACTTGCGCGGCCCTTGGTAACCAGTCGACAATCGAGCCTATATAGCGTTTGATAACGCCAGCACCTTGTATGACAGGTGGCTAAATTTTACGCGAATCTCACCAAGTTCCCAAACCTCCTCCTTTCTTATCCGGGCTTAATATCGGCACTACGATGTCCGCGATTAATATTATGAGTAGAAACGCTGCTGGTTTTTCTTGAACGCATTGTTAGTCATTTCTTTTGGTACGGTGGCCATTTTGCTGCTTATAACTGCCCAAATGTTTGTTCTCACCGTCTGCCTACTTTTTTACTTGTTTATAGAAACTGTGTTTTGTTGGTTGTGCTGCCGCGTCAACCTTTAGTGTTCTTTGGACCGACTTTGAAGTGTTCACCTTCGGGCTGAACTCTGGGCAGCTTGGTCACGATAAAACCAACACTGAAGATGGATTTATCGTATGTCCGACCAAGGTAAGTGGAAAACTTTTTGTTTTGTTAACAGTTAACAGGTTCGCTGACTCTCACTGGTCCTGCTAAAGGTTATTTATTCTATATTGTGGCAGTATATTTATACAGGTATATTTTTCACGGCAGTTAAAAAGAAGGTAGCGTTCAAGAAATGGTTTGGAAACAAAGAGCCTCCTACTCGCTTGCGATATGTCGAGACACGCAAGGCGGCAGCGTAACCAATGGCGAAAGCCAAAGCTTATTCCTAGGAGAGGTTCGGTGAGGTGTTGTAGTCGAATTTCCATACGGCAAACAAGGTATTTTGTGAAACCATTCGCCGGCTCCGAGGTGAAAATCAAGGGCAGTCTAAGAGTCCAAAGGGGCAGGTCTGGGCACCTCCTTACCAAGGATGATAACATTCTTTGGCGGTGCAGAAAACACTTTCAGGAAATCCTTGACCCCGTGCAACCGCAGGAAGACTCGCCTGTAGAGCAGCAGGAAAAAGATACTACTATCGCTGTAGATGAAATGACACAAGCTGTGAAAAGCTTGAAAAAATGGAAAAGCTGCTGGAATTAATGAAATCCGTCCTTAAATGCGCAAGACATTTGGCGAACAGGGCATGTGCCGGCTAACACGTGTTTGTCAAACTGCGATGACTGCGGGAAAGACACCAGCGGACTGGAGAACGGGTGTTAT